TTTTAGCTTCCTAAAATGTGTTTCCCATGAGCCTCTGTTTAGCTGGGTAGGAAGGGTAATCTTAAACTTGCCTATTATCTACCCTACTGAATGGGGAGGTCAGAGCTTAAACTCCACTCTAAGGTCCTGGGGAGCCCCCACTCTGTCAGGGTCCATTGCTCTGTACCAGGAAAGCAGCCCCAGTTCTGGATGATGGATCATGATCTCCTTTTTAGGCTAGTTTGTCACAATTGTGCACCTGAAGAGTAATTCATAAATGTTTATACAATGCATTTCATAGAGACTGAGGGGCAGTCTGATGGACCAGTGCACCAGGTAACACCCAGGTCAGAACAGGTGCTTTTTGGATTGACCAGCTATCCCCAAGCCTTGTCCTCTACCTGTGTACCACCAGTAATCATCAGCTTATTTGCAATGATATGAACACCATGAATTTCCAGGATGCCAGTAAGGAGGCTATCCCTGCCCTCCTCAACACATGAGCAACTCAATTCCAAAATCCTATTTTAAGGCCACTTCTCGCATCAATCATTGTGCCAGTCAGGAGTCAACAGGAAATGAACTGTGCAGTCAAAATGGATAATCTGAGATCAGTTTCATAAAGAAGCTATTTGTAAAGTCAAGGGCAAGGTGGAGGGAAACCTAAAGGACGAATACTATACTCCAGGGATAGTGATCTTGGGGAGCCATGACCACACAGAACCCTGAGGGAGCAATGAACAGAAGACTACAGGAGCCAGTAGGGGAAAAGGAAAGAGAGGCTACCTGAAAGCAGCTGCATCTTTGGTAGAGAAAACAAGAGGATAAATACACTGACCTCATTCACTTCCTGCTCTCTGATCTCCAGCTGGTTCCACCCAAGGCCCAAACCCAATAGCAAACCAGAGCCCATGGGGAGCACAGAGCCTGCTGGAGAGCAAGGGGAGGAGTTGTGGAGGAGAAGAAAGACAATATTAATATTAGCACATGAGCCCATCTAGTTTAAACAAACAGGGAATTTGCTCTCACATACCTGAAAATCCCAGCAGTAAAACTAGAAGTAGGGGTTCACATGATGTCATTGGTGCCAGACCCTGGGAACTTTGACTCAATGAGAAGAGAAATAAAACCAAGTCAGGCAAAAACTTTATTGAGACCCCTTCTTGGGAAAAGAAACACAGCTGGGACAAGAAGGTATCTGTCTGGCCCACTGCAACAACAAAAGAAGCTAGTGTTATTGTATTGGTTGCTCGAAAGGGTGGTGTAAGACTTGCCCTGATGAGGAAAATGAAAGGACCCTGGCTCTAATGGTGCACCTAGTCCTGTTTGCGGATGGATCAATGAAGAACATTTCTTATCTGACAAACTGAAGGTTAAGGTGAGACCTTTTAAATGGCTGTCAGGTTATGAGCTAAGACCCAGGACATTTGCTCTTTGGCCCTGCTACTTCATCATCAGTAGTATCTGGCTTATTTCTCTTTGCAGTTCCCTACACAGTGTTGTCCCGTCATGTTCCAAAGTGGCTACAGAACTTAACCTTTTTTTTCCAAGTACACTGGGATCTGTCAAGGGCTGCAGTGTATCTTATTGACTCTGGCTGGGTTTCATGACATGCTTGAACCCATCAGAGAGCTCAGAAGAAGGAGAGGTGCTGCTTGATGTAGGTCTGTGTCTGAAGCTGGGGCTGAGGAAAATTATGGTGGGAAACTCCAAGGAGGAAGAGGAATGCTGATGACTGGTACCAAACGCCACCACCCTACAGTTCCCTCCCCACATGGATGTGATGGAGCTTCTCAACCTTTCTGCACCTATGAAACACTGGGGGACCCTACTAAAGTGCAGAATCTGATCAGTTAGGTCTGGAGTAGAACCAAAGAGTACCTTTTACTTTTTTTTTTGTTTTTGGTATCAGCGATTGAACCCAGGAGCACTTAACCACTGAGCCACATCCTCAACCTTTTTAAAAATATTTTATTTAGACGGTTTCACTGAGCTGTGCCGCAGTCCGGCTGCAGCAAAATAACCGGGGGGTGACGAACAACTTGTGTACGGAGCCGTTTATTGTAGGACAACAGAGGTATTTATACATTTTGCACAGCTAATCTTAATTAGCATAAACTAGATACATCAGTCAACCAATAAGGAATCTCCACACTTAATGGCTTGCTTTTGTTACTTCTCAAACCACTCCCTCTGGCGTTTTGCCAGGTGCCATCCTGACTTGTTTACAGACCTTAACAGAGCTGCTTAGGGCCTCATTATCACTGAGGCTGGTTTTGAACTTGAGATCCTCCTGACTCAGCCTCCTGAGCCACTGAGATTACAGGCATGCACTGCCATGCCCAGCTGAGAGTCCTCATTTCTTTTTTTCTTTTCTTTTTTAATATTTTTTAGTTATAGACAGATGCAATATTTTTATTTTGTTTATTCATTTTTATGTGGTACTGAAAATCGAACCCAGCGCCTCATATGTGCAAAGCAAGTGCTTTGCCACTGAGCCACAACCGCCGCCCCCCAGTCCTCATTTCTAATAGGGGTTGTCAATGCTACTGGCCCAGGGACTACTCTTTGAGTAGCAGAGTTCCTTAGTCACTCAGTCCTGTCCCTAGGGTGGCTAATAGCCACAGTAGGGATTGAACCCTTAGAATAAGGCTACTTCAGATTGGAATATACTGAAAGCATAAAATATAAACCAGATTATTAAGACTTGGTAAGGAAAATAAATGTAAAATCTCATCAATTGTTTTCATATGGTTTACATGTTGATATGTTACTTTAGATGTAATGAATTAAATAAATTATTCATTTTATCTGCTTCCTTTTGCCTTTTTAATGTGGCTATTAGGAAATTTAAAATCATATATGTGGCTCAGATGCCATGTCTGTTGACTAGAGCTCCACTAAAAAGAGGTAATCCTTGAAGTCAATGAGGCTGGCACTCTGACCACACTTCATTTCCACTTAGGGTGAGAGCTAGAGCAGCCTATCTACACCAGAGAGCACAGGAGACTTCCCTCATGGGTCCTCCGACTCCACTTTCCCTCAGGCCCTCAGGGGCAGGTCATGGCAAGTGGTATTGATGTGTGTGTCCTTGGGCAAGGGCATCTGGGATGGACCCAGTGGTGTTTGCTCAGGGAAAGAGGAAATTCAGAAACCACAGAGTCCCTCAAGCTAGTCAGTGTCACTTCCTTGCTCATTTTTGTTTGCACAACTGCCTGAAGCAGAAAGTGCCACCATGCTTTTCCACTTCCTTAATCCTCCTTGCATGCAGCCATCCAGCTAGCCTCTCTGTGCTGAGGTTCAACAACCCTGCGCTGCCAGCCTCAGTCCAGATCCCTATTGAAGCCTAAATTCCTGGGACCCTGGTCATCCCTGAAAAAACCTCAAGGGTCTTGTCTCACTAATTTGTTCTCCTTTCCAGATGTGCTTCTTGTTTTTCCCATTCACTTAAATTATTCCTTTTCTGCTTGCATCTCCTTCTCTTGCTTTTGGTTCACCCTGCCCATTACACCATCTTTTAGAGCCCACCTTAGGGCCATCTGCCTCCAGAGGCCCTATCAAGGCATTTGGCCCACAGAGGCCTGTCCTTGGGACTTGTAAAACTTGCTGCTGGGGGCTCGAGCAGCACAACTGCTGCCGGGGCTCTGCTGTCTGATTTTGAGTTACTCAGGTTCTTGCTTTGTGTCTTGATTCTCCCATTGGGTCTTAATTTCCTTGAAGACAAAACCATGCTTGGTTTTCCTTCCTATTCTGCCTTGGTTTAGACCAATACAATAAGCAGCTCCTCCAAAAATGAGCTTATGAAATGAAGTGGTATTGGGAAACAATACTTTGATAAATGTGTATTATCAGTGATTACTTTTATAATGATGTATTTTTAAAAAAAAAACATGATGGAAAATTAAGCTTTAATCATTTCTTAGGGACCCAGTGGCTTTGGTTTTTACTTTCTATATTAACAATTGAAAAAAAAACTTTATTTTTAGATACTTATAGATTTGAAAGAAATTGCAAAGCTATTCCAGAAGAAGATCCTATATCCTTCTCACAATTTCCCCAGTGAACGAATGTAACTGTAGAACAATATCAAGACCAGGAAGGTGATATTGGTAGAATAGGCATGTGTAGCTCTGGGCCATCTTATCACATGGGTAGATTCTGTCACACCACAATCAAACTCCCTAACAATTACAACTGTATAGCTCTGCTTGGGCCATCTATTCATTCCACCCTCCCCACCTTGATGAGCTCTAGGCCCTGGCACTTCTGATTACTTCTCCATCTCTGTAATTTGGGTTCATTTGCAGTGTTGTAAGAGTGTCTCTGTGTATAGGATTTCATAGCTCTGGGCAGAACATTCCCTGTAGCTAATGTGTCACAGTTCTACCTGTGTTGACAGTAGACCAGTTCACTGGGATAAGAAGGCCTGTGCTCCCTTTGGGCTACTTGACTCTCCCCACTTATCATGTAACCATCTTAAATATTTTTCCTACACGATTTGAAGGCACATCACAATACACAGTGCTTAAGACAGGGGACCTGGTAGAGTTTGATCTTCTGAAGAAGGAGGACCTTCTGGGAACCCCACAATCAGTCATTTCCTTTGCCTTTTTCATTAATGAAGTTGTCCAAGGCAGTAATTTTCACTGCACTTCTCCTGTTTCTTAATCTATCTTGCACTCAACTGCTAACTAGTCTTTTGGATTGAACAGTGCTGAGGGCCATTGCCAAGTAGGAATGACACATCGAAATTTCCTTGCCAGCGTACCCCATGCCCCAAACTGAAAAGTAGTCAGAAAATAGACTGAAAAGAATTAACAAGTAGAACTTCCAAACATCTAGGAAAGCAAAGGGCTTTGGGCTTGCCCCTATTTTTTTTTATTATTATTTCTTTACTTCTTCTTTCTTGATGTTTTAAGATTCCTCCTCTTATCTTTTCCAAGAAATTCTGATAGCCCTTCCCTTAGGAAATCTTGCATATTTCCATCTGAGAATGTCTTGATTTCCTCTTCTGAAGACTGTTTTCACTGGATGAAGGATTTTTTTTTTTTTTTTTGGAGAGGGGTGAAGGATTTTGAGTGACAGTTCTTTCTTCCCAGCACTTGTTAAACCCCTGCTTTCTCACCCCTACAGCTGCTGAATGGAAACCTGAGGTTGTTCAAATATTTCTAAGATCCCATTTGTCCTGACTGCTTTCAAGATATTGTTTTCTTTGTCTTTGGTCTTCAAAACTGGACTCTGATATGTCTTGGTGAGGATTTCTTTGGCTTCATCATGGATGAGGTTTGCTCAGTTTCTTGATTTATGCTCAGTTACTTCATTTTTGTAGTTTCAGCCATATCTCCTTGAATACTTTTTTATTAGTTGCTGATGGACCTTTATTTATTTATATGTAGTGCTGAGAATTGAAACCAGTGCCTCACACGTGCTAGGCAAGCACTCTGCCACTAAGCCACAACCCCAGACCCTTGAATACTTTTTTTTAGCTCAAATTTCTTTTCCTCTCCTTTCAGATTTGGGTAGCAAACTAGTTCTTTTTTGTACACAGTCTCATAAATTCCTGAGACTCTGTTAATTATTTTCCAGCCTTTTTGTTCAGGTTGGGTGCTCCTGGTTCTGCATTCTGCCCTGTTAAGATTTGAGCCCAAGAGGAGGAGGGAGCCCCTGCCAAGCCCTCTGGAACCCACCCAACCAGCCAGCCTCTCTTACTGGTGAGAATGCTATCCAGCTTACTGCTTCCAAACTCCTTTCCTGAGTGTGTGTGTGCACACACATACCCACATATACACACCTTCCCCAAATAGAATATTTTTATTATAAACCCAAAATAGAGAAAGATAAATGACAAACACAGGCATTTTTCAGATCTCTTTGAAATTCTCACAAATCATATGAAAAAGGGGTGGATAATGCTTTCTTGAAATTGCTGTAAAATTCCCAATATCAATGGGAGGACAGGATTCTTGGAATCCTGTGGGAAGGCACCTTGCCCCAGCCTGGCCAAGGTGGAGCAGAGAAGTGATTTTCTATTATTTTAGGGCCTTGGGGTCTGTCCTTGAGCACAGGGAACTGGGACCATGACATTTTCTCCCTCATAGAGAATTTGAGGGGAAGGTACAAACCACCTTGGGAGGAAGAAAATGTCCTTGCCTGCTATGCCAGTTCAAGGAGCTCTCCTACTCTGTCTGCCCTTCATTGAAATGCTGGCACCTTGGACCCTTTCCAGACTTTGGTTTTAAAGAGAAAAAAGGAATCAAGAGCACCCATTCTTGTCTGAGGAGATGGTCAGACCCCCTTGAAGGTGGAACTTTCCCATGCAGCTGTCCCTGGGAGCTGCACCAAAGAAACATGTACATGTAGGTACCTCTGTGGGTGAGAGTGTATGAGTCAACTTGTATGTGCTCATATGGGGAAGATTATGGGTGGCTGTGTGCCCACAAATTTTGGGGAAGGATGTTCTTATGTGGCTTCTATTTGTTGGCAAACAAAGCAATGGAAACACAGAAAGATAGTGGGAAAGCTCTCTGTGGGTGACCCAGGAAGGAAGGTTCTCTGTTGACATGACACTGGTGACTCAACCCCAGAGGCCTATCTGATGATATGTCAGAGGCCAGGATGACAACCCAGGTCAAGAAGAACTGAGGAGAGCTGACAGGTGTCTGGATGAGTAGAAGTGAAAAGCAGCACCAGCTGTTCAGGATGGTCTTTTGGAGCAGAGGCTTGGGGGAGTCAAAGATGTAGCTGAGAGAAGACCCATTAGAAGCAGGCTCAAGGCAGGTTCTGTTAGAAGGAGTAGCCAGCTTCCTCAACTGCCCTACAGAGAGGAGGAAGGGGGTTGTGAGGTGGTGAATAGACATCACAGTGGAAGCAGCTGCCCCAGCAGGTGCATGGTCCCACTGGTGGCCAGCATGTGGTCTAGCAGCAGTCAGTTCTTTCTCAGCCAAGATCATCTCCTCCAAGAGAGCCAGAGCAATACTCAACCTTTTCCTGCAGTGGTTTGAACACAGCTCCCACCAAAACTCCACATTGTACTGCTCAGGTAGAGAAAGTGAGGTGGAAGATGTGTGAATGACTCAGAGATGACTTGACTGCTCCTCTTCTTACTTACTCCTGAGCAGCTTTTTTTTTCTCATCCAGCTGACCCTGGTTTACACTGTCCTGGCTGATAACTCAGCAAGTGAAGGTACCAATCCTAGTGGTGGTTCCATCAGGACAGAGAGGTGGTGTCCACATGATGTCTGATTAGTGCAGATGTATCTGTGGAGTTGGCACCTCTAGGAACAGAGAGGCAAGTGGAGCACAGATTCCCCCCACAATCCCAGGAAGAGGCACCAGCAGAAGCACATGGACAGGGAGACAGATGGAGACACCCCGGGGATCCTAGAGTCATCTTCAGGGCAGGGACAAGGCCCTGGCAAGGCGTGTCCAGAACCAGGACTGGGTGCAGGGGTTGGTGTAGTCACAGACAGTGATGAACCGCAGGATGCTGGGGAACTCCTTCTTCATTGCCTTGTACTTGATGGGGATCAGGCGCTTCTGATGGGCACCTGTAAGCAAGTGTTACTGCACTTTCACCAGGCCCTTGGCCCAGTCAAGGGATAACATCAGACCATCCCCAGTTAAATACATAACACCTATTTACTCACACAAAGGCACAGGGATGCACACAAGCTCAGGTGTGCAGAGACCTGCATCTGGCCAGGGAAGAACTAAGCTTACCTGGGGAGAGGCTGAGTGCAAACTTGGTCTGGAAGTCACATTCCTTGCTTTGCAAGTAATCATCTGACACAACCACCACCATCCGGCGACACCTAAGGGAGAGTGGGCAGGCTGCACATACTATGGTAACTTACTTGAGCATATTCCCAGGGGGTAGCCTCAGAGGAAGGAGGGCCATTATGACCAGGGCCAGCTGGAAGGAAAAGCCCAGCATCTGGACCTTTGAGCAAGTCATCATTCACCCACCCACTATTGGGCCCTAGTCAACCTCTTTTCGATGAGTTCACTAGCGATGGACCAGACACAGGTGCCTGGCAGGACATCACGATCAGACACACACAACTTCAGCCGATATTCTGTCTGTTCTAGTTGCCGGATCATCTCCTGCACAAACTGGATATCACTGGGGCAGTAACAGATGAAGGCATCAAAACGCTCAGGTACTTTCCCTGGGAGAAGAGCACAAGGTGATGGTCAGAGCAACAAAGAAGCTGTGAAGGAAACCAGCCAAGAGTTCATTGCCTAGGCAACCAGTCCTGGACTCTACACCCATCCCAAGATGACATGACTCAGAGAAAGTGCCCTTCTCAGGAGAGGACAGGTGAGGCCCTGGAGGCCAAGCCCTGGGTTAACCATCATTTCATGAGAGTCTCTGAGCAACATAGTGGTAGGACTAGTAGTAGCCCCATTTTTTTTTTCAGTGGGAAAACCAAGTCTCAGAAACCAAGGCTTGCTCAAGGACTCACAGCCCATCTGCTTCCAATATCCATGCTCTGCATATTACACTGTCCTGTGGCTGTCGCCCACCTGTCTGCCTGTGCCACAGGAACAGTATTGGGCCCTTACCCATTGGGTCATCAAGTGTGGTGATGCCTGACAGCTCCTCTGTCCGTGGTATACTGCTGTCTACTCTGGCCACCTGTAAGGGCTTCTCAGATTCCTGCTCTTGCTGCTTCAAAATGTACTTCTTGCAATCCTCCTCTGTAGGAGAGAGACAGGGTATGTCAGGTTTTCCAGCCCTCCACCCACAGACAGGATCTAGCCTGTCTCACCTCTTTTGGCTCTTTTGGAGTCTAGGCCTTCAGCTGCTGGTGCCACGGGCAGCTCCACAGCTCTGACAAGCTGAGCATGCACACATGCACTCACCCCACCACCACACACCACCAGAGCTTTGACTCTCCCAAAAGGATATTGTGGAGTTCTGGCCTTGTGGGAAGCCAGCAGCATCTCCTGTCCCTTGTCCTTAACCCCCTTCTAGGGCTCCTGAGAATGGAATGAAGGTCTTTTTTCAGGATCAGGGGCAGATGTGAGAAAGGGGGATGAGAGCATGTGAGGAGGGCTGAGAACCCAGGGTTATGGTGCAGTGATGGCAGTGACCCCAACCCAGCAATGTGTGCCTGTCTGGGCAGCTGGACCTCCTGTGCAATACATTAAGAGAGTGCCAGTGAGTGGCAGAGGGGTTCTTTTCCCAGGCACCTGAAGTTTCTAGACCATCAGCTTCCAGTCCCTCAGTTGTCCTGTTGCCCTACCTGACACAGCTCAGAGGCTCCGGTGCAGCCTCAGACTAACATCTGGCCCAACCTGAAAGCCTCTGCTAAGTTTTGCCCCCATCTTCTCTGCCTCCCAGGGCCTTTGCCGCATTTGCTCTATCCTTATCTTGTCAGAGATACTGACAAGGAACCTGATCATCTCCCTCTGTGAACTCCGGAGCCATCCCACAGGCTGCTGAGGCCTGAGAAAGTCAGCCTCCCACACCCTGGATCCAAGGCCTCACCGATGCTGGGCCGCAGCTCCACCAGCACGTCTTCACGGCCCAGCGTGGAGAGCAGCTCCAACAGCCGCCCTACGGAAGCGCCAGGGCGGCCCTGCCAGGCGTCCAGCAGGCTGCCGGTTGGGTCTGGGCGCGCCTCAAACTGCCGGATCTCCAAATACTCGAAACCCATCTCCTCAGCCAGCACGGTCCAGTCGGCGGCCACCTGTGTCCGCGCGTTCAAGAAAAGCGACAGGCGGCGCCGCACTCGCACGTTGAGCGCAGCCAAGGGCAGCGAGGATGTAGAAACGGCCGGGGGTGCAGACTCATCACTGGGGACTCCTGAAGACATGACAGGGTCGTCCTGTTGGATCCTTGGCTCTGTAGGGTCGCGTTGCATGTCCCACTTCCTCCTTCTACGGCTCCCCCCCCTCGTCGCCCCAGCTGCTTTCGCTTTTTGAGAAGCGCCGCCCTGCGGTAGAATCTGAAGGCCCACGCAATGGTGCCAAGTTGGAGCGCCCCACCCCTCACTTGGAGACTTAAGGGCGGTGAATATAGGAATCCAGAACCTGCCCTTTGAGTTTCTCTCTTTCTCTCTTTTTCTCTTCTCTCTCTCGCGCGCTCGCGCGCTCTCTCTCTCTCTCTTTCTCTCTCTCAATACTGAGGGTCCAAACCAGAGCCTCTCCTATGCTAGGAAAGCGCTCTACCACTGAGCTATACCCCCAAACTTGTCCCCTTTTAATTTTGAGTCAGGGTCTTGCTAATTTGAGTGTGCTGGCCTGGAATTTATGATCATCCTAGCTCAATCTCTGGAGTATCAGGGATTACAGGCATATGCCTCCGTACCCAGAAGAACCTTCCCTTTGAGATCTGGATAGGTCGTCTGACTTGTCCTCAAGGGGTCAGGTAGTGGTGGTGAGTGAAAGACCAGAGAGAATGGTCCTATTTCGGGAATTGTAGGAAACCGTCCTAGCTCTATGGGATCTAATGGTGTCACATCCATTTCACTGGGGATCTAAGAGGTTCAGATGGTGCTGCCCTTGAGGGTGGTGGAAGAGAAAGGGGGGAGTGGGTCACCAGGTCTGTTCTCCCTATTCTCTGGGGAATACACAATCCTGTCCGAAGGAGAATGGGAAGAGACCAGTTTTGCATCCCGAAGTGGCAGTGGAAAAGGACAGACATACTGCCTTAAGTTTGAGGCAGGCTATGGCTCGGGGGCGCTCAAAAGGCGGAGGGTTGTGATTTACAAGGCGCCTGGTCCTTTGGTATCTGGGTAAAACACAGGAATACTCGCACAGGTCTCTAGTAAATGCATGGTCTTGCCATTGTCCGTCAAGGAGTATTTGGTTTTACTCTTTAGTATTAGGGACACAGTACAGATCTAGGGAGCCTTGATTGGTTTCATTAATTCAACAAGTATTTATCACTTACTATGTGTCAAATACATTGCAGGCGCTCTAACATATGGTTCTCTCTACCTTGGTGTGGATGTTCTAGAGGGGAGGATGGATACTAATTAGATATTCCAAGCAATGTAAAGTTGGTATCAGAATTGTGAGATGTTCTCTCTCTAGCTATAGAGCTTGTCACACTTTCGTATATTTGAAAATCCATTCTCAGCGCCGGCCAAGAATCTCAAATTGCCTAGTTCTGGAAAGACTTCCCGGGAGAGTCCTACCCCTTCGGAGTAGGATTGGGAACATCAGAAGTATTTAGGTCCTTGGGATTGGATGCTGGGGAACCGAGCAGACTAGGACCTGGGAACTGGAATTAGAGCCCCGACCTCCTCCAACCAAAGCAAGAGGCGGGCTCCAGGTGGTTCAGCCTTCTGTCTGGCGGCGGGCAGCGAGCGGGCCGGGCCGTTGGAGGAAGGGGCTCCTGTTAGAGGGCCCGATTATTTCAAGAAGTTATTGCAAGAGTCCCGCCGCGGATTTGGATACTAAAGTCTACCAAAGCGGGTCAGTTTCCAGGCGGCATTTCTGAGCGTGGCTTCAGAAAGAATCGTACCCTGATTGGCCAATAGGCGGGACTTTGAATGGTTGTGCCTCTGGGGAGAGAGGGGCGGTTCCGCGCTTGCGCGAGTGACTTTATTTCCGATGATCGGTGGTGAGTCCCAAAGCGGGTCTGCTTATCCCAGCGGCGTGATGTGGAGGCTACAGGTTGTTCTGGGTCATCTCACTGGTCGGCCCGAGTCCGGCCCGGCGCTGCAGGCCGCGCCGTGCTTCAGTAGCTTCCCTCAAGCCTCGGCCGCGGACGTGGTGGTGGTGCACGGACGGCGCACTGCGATCGGCAAAGCGGGGCGCGGGGGCTTCAAGGTGAGGCCCCCCGGCGCTGGCGCCTGGAGTAACACGGTGCGGGGCGGGGAGGTGTCATCTGCTGGGTGGACCCAAGGATGCCGCAGGCAATGAGAACTCGAACTGCAGTCGCTGTGTCTCCCTGCGGTGGGTATATCGGGCCAGGCACCACAGCTGCGCGTCCCGTTGCAGGACACCACCCCCGACGAGCTTCTGTCAGCCGTCTTGACCGCAGTTCTACAGGATGTAAAGCTGAGGCCTGAGCAGCTGGGGGACATCTCCGTGGGTGAGTGCACCACTCAGGCCCTGCTATGGAGTCTCTTGGTCTTCCCATCCCTCCAAAGTCCTGCTCCCACGCCTCTAGTCCCAGAGTTGTCACTAAGGAGAACTATGGACTATGAACACTGACTTGGATGTGCTCTCCTCCTGATAGTAGACCTAGACACTTTGCTCTTCTTCCTCGTGTCTTCTGCTTGTTAGAGAAAAAGCAGACATCCCAAACACAGACAATCTAGGGGTTCCAGGTCATTCTGGGAGGCAGATGGGTGTTCTGAATGTGTCCTGATATCCTGTCTGTGCCAGGACAAAAGAGAATGTCAAAACCCATCTTCCATTCTTTACAGATGGAGGGACAGAGGCACAGTGTATTTGCTCCAGAGCTAGAACATGAACCCAGAGTCTGGACCTTCAGGCCAAACTTGGTTCCCACCCACACACCTCTTCCCTTGAAATATAACAACATAGTATGTAATACTGTTTCATCCATCAGGTGCCACCACTAGGTCAGGAATCATTGTTTCTTCTCTCTGCAGTGACAGCAGGGCCTGGAGGAGGACACTAAGGGGATGTACATTTTGAGAATCTCATTTCCCTTGCCCAAGTACCAATGCTGTTGGCCTTCAGGCTTTGCTTTGTGTTTCTCTTTCCCTTCAGTCTTCCATGTTACTTGGAAGGGTAGGACACCTGCCTAGTCTGTGCTGGTTTGGAAGAGCAGGGTGCATGGGCAAGTCATTTTGGAACCCTCCAACATGGGGACTGGTATATGACCTGGACACACTGTCATATGTCTAGCTGTCCTTACTCTATACCCTGAAATTCCAGAGCATCAAGTGGGCCTGCCATAAACTCATGTTCCTGAAGAAAGATATGGAATGTTTCCTCTGGGGTACTCGGAGGTGTGCCTTTTTGCAAAGACACCAACTGGCACTGAATAAAGGCTTTTCTGTCCATAGGCAATGTTCTTCAGCCTGGGGCTGGGGCTATCATGGCCCGGATCGCCCAGTTTCTGAGGTAATCTTTTCTACCACTAGCTCTGAGTTGGCCACTGTGACTAATGAGTGGGTCCTGGATCCAGGGAACTCATTCTGTGGGTGGTGGAGAATAAAATTGGATACCATGTCAAAAGATGTCAGGGAAACCTGAATGCTGATCTTGTGGACCCAACCTTTCTCCCACTTTGAGGTTGGTATGTTACTGGCTATGAGCCAAGACCTACAGGGCTTTGGTAGTGGTTATCTGTGGCATGATGGTAGCCAAAGCTAACTTGTTGTTGTGTTTTGAAAAAAGTGGACTCTGTCCTCATCTGTCAGGTAAATAACCAAATAAACATGCTGAAGAGTGATTTTGCTTCCTTTGCTAGTTGAGCAAGCTGGGAACTCCAGGTCAGAACCCTGGGGCAGCGAGGAAACCAGGAGGAGCCCTGGTCATCTTGCCTTTTAGCACTTTGCCTCCCACTATGGGCAAGGAGTGATTCTGTTATTTTCACTTGTACATTTAGGACACACTTGTCTTTGTCCTTTTATTTGCATTGAGGAGAAATAGTAGGGACATTAGCCAGTGACAGAACAGGAAAACTTCTAGGAACTGGGAAAGCCTCAGACCGCTTTGTCTGCAGTTCAGTGTCTCCCAGTATCTCCAGGCTAACCTTCCAGCCTTATCTCTCAACTGGTTACTCACCTTGATTTTTCCTCTTTCTTTTCCCTCCTCCTTCTCTTTTTGGCTTCTCTGCCTACTGTCCTCCCTATTCTCTTCATTCTGTGCCTGGGGAGTGTTGTCCCTCTCTCTTCCTTAGCTAAACCCTGCCTAAACAATCTTGCCGCTTAGACACTGCTTCTCCAAGTTCTCAGGCTGAAAATAAGAGACCTTCCTCTTGAATAAGAGTCTTATGCTACTCTTTGATGTGGCCTTGCCATCTGGTCCTGCTACTTCACTCTCCTCTTGTGGATTCATTTTCTGCATGTTGGTTAAGCATCTTCTAGAAGTTCTATAAGCATCTAAGAACTTTTACTCAATAGGTATTTGGTAAAAACTTAGTGGATCGGGTAAAGAGGTAAGAATCAGGTGTAATGGAATTAGGACATCTGGGAAAGGTTCAACAGGCCTAGGAAGCCATGTACTTCTAAGGGTCCCTACAGAGTTTGGCCCAATCAGTACCTCCAGGATTACCAAGCCTGGCTGCCCATTGGAATCACCAGGATGCTCATGGAACTCCCTGAAGTTTTAAGTGGGTTGGAGTATGGCCTGAAAATATCACTAGAGCTTTATACTGTTTGCCAAGGCAGGTTTCATTGGAAGGGCCAACTCTGTACTACCTTCCAGGGCTAAGCCCATGGTGAGACCCTTGGGAGCTCCCAGTGGATGGGATGTTAGAACAATGGTGCCTAGAAGAGCTTTGCTTCCAGGTGGGAACAGGCTTTTGGGGGAGAGAATAGAAATATAATACCCAGCCATGTGGGTACTAGTATGCTGGAAGGTAGAGATGGTTGCTGGCCTCATACTTGACCATGGCTTTTGCTCTGGTAGCTTATCCAAGCAAAATGCCCTCTCCTTTCTACTTTTGGGAAAATATATGACTAGTTTTTACTGTTAATTTTTCAGAGGGACAGAAAGAAGGACTCCTGTGACACAAACAGACTTTCCTCTTTCTAGATTGAGGAAATTTATAGGATGGAAGGGCATGCTCTTGTAGGGCCTGGGGAGCAAGTACATACAGAGACACAGTTTGCCCAGGAGCTGCCCACCCATATCCAATGGATCTATCCTGGCATGGGCACTGGGTTTTCAGGTTGTTCTCCTGATCTTTGCACCCTCTGATGGGGACAGTCACAGGGCCCTGGAGTACAGACCTGCTTTCCATGAGAGCCTGCAGGACAAGGGATTGACTATGCCTTTTGCCTTCTGTTTCAGTGGCATTCCAGAGACTGTGCCTCTGTCTACTGTCAATAGACAGTGCTCATCAGGGCTGCAGGCATTGGCCAACATAGCTGGTAAGTTGGGATGGGTGGTGCCCTAGGCCAGGGCCTGGGCTTAGTCCTGTCCCTGAGGGTTACAGTCAGGGATGTCACTGTCTCCTGGACCAGCAGTAAGCATTTCTGAGAGGACTCTGAGCACAGAAAGAGTTCAGGAGCTCCCCTTGGCACCGCCCCACTCCTCTTCAGAACACTCCTGGGTCTTTATCTCTGGGACTGGACTGAATGGCACCTAGGCTGAGAGCAGGTGGGACAGGGGCTCTGCTGCGCCCAGGACAGACAAACTTTGGCCAAGGATGATTATGAAATGCTTTTGTTGCAGGTGGCATCAGAAATGGGTCATATGACATTGGCATGGCCTGTGGGTAAGAATTTCTTTCTGCCAGAGCTCCTTAACCAATGGGGATAAATTAATTTCCTTCTCCTCAGTTCTCAGAGGCCACGATTTCAGTATCATCCCCTGGCTCCTTTAGGCAGCTAGCTTGGTGTAGGTTCCTATAGATGAAACCTAGGAGTGGCCCCCAACTCTGGGTGATCAAGAATAGTTCACATCTGAGCACTAGCAGGACAGGGCAGGTGGCCTCTAAGCTTTCTTTCTTGAAAATCTGTCAGACTGGAAACTGTGACCATGTTGGAAAAATACACCACTGAGACTTCCGTCGGTGACTTTTGTTGATTCTCACTGCTACTAAAAGAGAAGTGGCAGTTTCAATTCTCTAAATCTAGGGACAGTTCCCTACTATGTGTCTATTCCTTTTCCTACACGATGTCTTTATCTCTCCCCTGATACCAAGATGGAAACTTCTAATTGCCCACCACGTTTTCAGGGACATAGTCAGATCTCAGGTGATTTGGTCACTGTCCCCTTTACCTAGACTGTGACTCTATCTTTACCTGTAGCACATCGAGCGCCAGAAATTTTGGGTAGAGCCTCCAAGGAAGGGCAGGGTGCTATGTCCCTGGCTGGGGGCTTCTGATGCTGGGTGCACAGGCTGGTGAAGACACTGGCAGGCTGAGGTGGTGACCAGCCCTGGTTCTGATGTCTTTCCACTGTCTTTCAAATCCTCTCTAGAATGTTTTTTGATGAAAAGTATTGCTGGTCCCTAACTGGATCCTAGCTGACCTGCACTGGGTTGCTCCAACTTATATCTCAAAGAGAGCAAAGACTACAAATAGGGACTTTATTATGACACAGGTCACAGCCCAGCCTGCCTTTTGATGTGTTTCTTGTTACACTCTTACTGGGGAGAGAGCAAGTTTGGAAACTTGAGGAGGAGAAGGCCTGAAGCCTTAATGAGTTCCATAGGGGGCTTCTGATTCTTAAGCAGCATAAAGATTCTCATGCTTGCACAACACCCATATCACAATCTGACAGTCCCCAAGGGCTTGAACATTCAGTGTTGCCTAGGGCATCCTAGGTAGAAGGGAGTTCCTGGTATAAGCTGTATAAATTCGGGTCCAGGCTGAATGGCCATGGGCAAATTACTTATTTCTCTGGACCTCAGTGTCCTCAGCTATAAAAGGGGATACTATCTGAGCTTGGCCAATGCTTATAAGAATATTAAATGAGGTCAGGTATGGTGGCATATGCCTATAATTCCAAAGACTCCCAGTGACTTTGGAAACCGAGGGAGGAGGACTGTAAGTTTGAGGCCAGCTTCAGGTACATAGTTAGACCCTGTCTCAAAGTAAAAAATAAAAAGGGCTGGGGCTAAGCACAGTGGTACACACCTGTAATCCCAGCCACTTAGGGGACTGAGGCAGGAATATCACAAGTTGGAAACCAGCTTCAACAACACAGCAAGACCCTCAGCAACTCAGTGAGACCCTGTCTCAAAATTTAAAAAAAAAGATCTAGGAATGGAGCTCAGTGCTAAAACCACTCCTGGATTCAATCCCCAATGCCAAAAAA